ATGACTTAGGGCATTTCAAAAGTTGGTTTACCTTCCTTTTCATCTCACTAGGCTGCCTTGGCAGAGAGCAGTTTACCTTTGCTAAGTAACCCAGGACTGATCAATAATGCCTCCAGTGGCCTACTGCAGGCCGTCCATGAAGACCTCAATGGTTCTCTGGATCACATCGACAGCAATGGGAACAGCAGTCCGGGCTGTTCGCCTCAGCCGCACATGTAAGTGTGGTTAATAGGGCCCATAAAGAGGAGAACCTACGTGTATTCATATGTTTCTAAGATGTGATATCCTTCTGAAGTTTTTAATGATGTTCAAGTAAAAACTACAAGTTACAAGTTAAGTGGAGTTAAATTGCACCATGTTCTTGATATGAAAAAGTGTATCAAATCAAGTTTAATAGTCTTTTAGATTCTCTCAAATGTCCTGTAATTACTGTACTAGCAGTCTCCTGTACAAATTCCACTGATACGCTTTTAGGCATAAAGTTGTGGCTTAGATGAGTCTAGATCTTATGGGTCATTATCCCAGTTTGGTTTGTATGGTGCAATGAGAATATTTATGATGGAATAAGTTGTCGTAATCTTTACTACTATTAAGGTCTCTAAGCCATTTATGAACTGTAGTCAAGATATTGCCCGTTTTTATAAACCGTAAAATGCAAAGTTTAACTGTTATCCACAGTTTACATAGAAGCTAGTAAAGTGTAACTTTTTGCCTGTCTTATAAATCAGTGTAATTACATATTCAACTTTAATTACTGGTGCGTCTGTATTGGCAAGGTTTATATGTTATATTTTATGCAAGACTACGACTCCTATTAATATTTAGCAGCTAACTATATCATTAATTACTCTAAAATCTTTCCCCTACCATCTTTTTAATGGAGCTGAGAGAGTAGAAGTATTAAAAATTGATGTATTGTGGATTTCAGAAATGTGTATGACTCTTTAAAAAATGCCTGGCCTTATACAGTAGTGTCAAACATATCAGTTTCTTGTTTACTAAAAAGTGTTCACCGTGGTAGAACTCCAGAATTCAGGGGGGAGAGAATTCGAATCTGAATATGTGTATATGCGCTTTGGTTATTAGGATGAATTGTAATTCCTGTTTGCACTTCACAGACTTATATTTCATGTATTTGTAATTTCAAATTACTGAGGTCAGAATAGCCCTTTCCTGCATTTTTATCTTTTCTTCTCTTATTTTTTGCATTAAAGATCTAGTCAAAGACCTGGAAATAGAGATTCGGGCTTTCTATGTATCCATTTCCATTTGACCTTTCTCAGGATGTATTATTTTTGTTGACTTTTTAAACATTTTATTCTATTTGACATATTAATGTCTTTAAGATCATGTGCCTAATTGCTTTATAGCATTTTTACTCCAATCACCTTTGTGAAAAACACACTGCACACATTAATGTTGTTTTATCAGGTTCCAAACCATTACTTTTTCAAAATAGAAAAATGTGTCTTTTGGAAGTGTCTTTAGATGTATTAAATAATACAAAAGAAGTAATAAAACTCGAAGTAGAAAGAACATGAATATATGCTCTTGAGAGAAGCAGTGCTATAAAACAAGGAAAGTGAGCAATCAGACAAAAGTTTTTATATCCCGCTTTATCCTATCATCCGTGCAGTGGGTAGCTTGAGGCCTTTTACTTTTAGCGGTTCTCCTGAGTATGCTAATGCACACTCTCTGTATAAAATACTAAAACAATAAAACTTTAAAGAGCAAACAAGAGTTAGATCCTGTTTCCCCCCTCCCCCCCTTTTTTAAAAGACCTATTTCAGAGAAATGGGAGTTATTCATAATAAAAGTGTTTTATTCTTAAATTCATAAGCTGCTGGTGTAACGCCCTCTGCTAACATGCAGTAGATTGTGGTTGTTGTAGACCACATACTGAGAATATGCAAAGAGCTATTTTTTAATGTAATTGTCCAGTACTAAGATATTGAAATAAAGATTTAGAGATTCAATAAAATAATTTATTACGCATGATATTTTAGAATCTGAAATAATCATTATACTAAACCATGACTCTTTCAGGTTACTAGTATTTTTTTCATTTGGCAATTGCTATTTGAGAAATTTCAATTTATTGTTAATTTAGTTGCAGTGTAATTGTGAAATATCACAGACAAATAAGAGTATATGTCAAACAATACATAAAAAGTGTTTATCTGTTGCCCAATGTACTACCGCTATGGGTTTATAAAATTAATATGTTCATAGTCAGTTTTTCATTGTACATTGTTTATTTGTATGAATCAGTGCACTGAAAAATGCCTGACTTTGCTTATAGGAAAAGTTTCCTTGATTAGCTGGAAGCAGATTTTAGCAAAAAAAAAACCCCAAAAAACTAGAGCACACCAAATCTTGTCTTATTAAATTATATAAATGATGAACACATTTTTAATTTTATTACAAAATATTAAAATATTCTTTCAATCTGTTTCCTCTATCATTTACTTTTTGTTTGTCAAATACTATTGATGGGTTGTCACTATAGTATTCTCTAGCCTCCTCTTTATAGAGTTTTAAGATGCTTGTATTTAAAGACTCTTGAAGAATTTTGTGTACATTAAAAAGGAAAAAAAAATCTCTCGATTTTTTGAGAGCTAAATCTCTCAATCAAAATTTTGTTGCATAAAAATTAATGCATTTCAAAGTTCTTTGAAAATTAAACAGAATGGGAAAAGTTTTTAAAACTTTTAAGTAGCGTACTTGTGTGTCCCTCAAATGAAGTCATGAGTGTAGAAGTCCTGTTTTAGAAAGGAACAGGTTGTTGTGAGAATGCAGTTAATGAGACTGTAAATACGAGGCATTAGAGCCGGCTGGTTAAGTATATGGACTTTTGAGCCAGACTGACAGGGCTCTAATCCCAGAGGCAGACATAATAGCCCAGTGGGATTGAGCAAGCGACTTGTATTTCTTTCCTCAGCTTTCTCAGCTGAGAATGAGGTAAACAATAATAATCCCAACCCCACAGAATTCTTATGCAAATGAAATGAATGCTTGGAAAATGAACATTGCTCCTTGTCTCCCTTATAATACTTTGTAATTATATTGGTTCTTGATACCTCATCTTTGCTTTAAATGAAACTATAAATAATACAAAAATATATATTGATATCCCATTGTAATACATTTTTTCTAGGAATTTCATAAGTTAGTGGTTAGTTTCCTTAATTTCTCTCATGTTTTCTTCCCATGTTGTTGTTGTTCTTAAATACCCTAGAGTCTATTCTGACTCATAACATATCTGTATAGGATTCCCAAGGAGCTTGAAACACTGATCTTGCAATTCAAACCTATCTTGCAGTCCAGAGCATTAACCTGCAGTGGTATACCAGGACTCCTTTTCATATCCTCATAAAATTCAAGAAGTAGGTTAGGTCCATTTAAAAAAATGAAGCATTCTGTCATACAAATTTTTGATAGGGAGCACATTAGTCTGTTAGTGAGATCAGGGAGTTTTGACATAAGAGAATGTTACCTGAGATTGTAGGTGATTCAAACAGGGAAAACCATACCCATTACGATTCCAGACCTCGGGATATGAGCCTAGAAAGCATTGAGTATGAGGTTTGACAGAATTTGAAAATATGCTAAGGAAAACAGACTGTTAGGTGATTTTTAATATCAGTTGTGCTTGCCTTAATGTGATTTTGGCATGATCAGAACTGTAGCTTATGAAGAATCATCTGAACATGTATTGAATGGGATGACAAAGAAGATTGGTGTCAAAGCTAGGGTATTCTCCTGGAGTTGGCTATCAGAAGAACTTGACTTATGTTTGAGGCTGGAAGTGGAGAGTAAGGAATCAATACAAGAAGTGCTAGGGGAAGAAATACTAGCATGGTGCCACCCACTGAATGTAAGGGATAAGGAGGAAAATTAGGAAAAATCATAGCACCATTTTAAAGTACACAAAAAGAAGTAGTGGGCACAAGACGATAGTCTCCAAACAAAAAGACCGTAAGATCAGCATTTTACCTGTGGAACCCAAAAATCTAAGTATCCAAAGATTCAGGGAGGAAAAAAAAGCTGAAACTTTGGGGTGCTTGCCTAATTATTTTATGTAATTTCAAAATAATAAAATTCTACATAGTAGAATATGGAAATGTTCCTGAGGTTGGTAGAGAAGATGTTTTGAAACCTTAGAAAGTGGAATGAAATACATGAAGGTTGGTTCTTATTGTAATTATTTTTAGAAAGACAAGACATGCCAAATCGTCATTCAGATTCCTAGATGTGACGTATTTAACATTTTCCCACCAGGCCAGCTGTTATGGCACCTGAATACAAGCTTTTTCCCAAGCATGTACATTTCGTTTTCCCTCAGACAAATGTTTGCCTTTCTGGGTTTTTTGTTGTTGTTTGTTTTTTTTTTTTTTGTTTTGGTTTTCTTCTTCTTCACCTCTTTTCCTTACCTAAATTCTGCCTTTTTAAGGAGCTCTGGTAGTGTGATGGTTATGAATAGGGCTGTGAACCTTAAGGTCAGCAGTTTGAAACTACCAGAGGGAGAAAGATGAGGCTTTCTGCTACCGTAAAGATTTACAGCCTCGGAAACCCTGTACAGGGTCGCTATGAGTCAGAACCGACTCCACGGCACATTGTTGTTGTTGTTGTGTGCCATCAAGTCGGTTCCGACCCATAGCGACCCTGTATAGGGTTTCCGAGGGTGTAAATCTTTACGGGAGTAGAAAGCCTCATCTTTCTCCCGCGGAGCAGCTGGTAGTTTCGAACCACTGACCTTAAGGTTCGCAGCCCGATTCGTAACCACTACGCTACCAGAGTTCCTAACCACCACCAAATAGACCTAGTCTTGTTTTTCCCAGAAACAGTTCCAAGTAGCTCCACTCTTTAGATATGCACTCTGCTCCATGATCCTGAAGAACTTCCTTCTTCTACCATCATTTGAAACTCGACACTGTGTATGTATGTGTGTGGGCATTCAAGTGCATGCATGCATGGTATTTATGCACAATGCCTGCTCAGTTCGTAGCTATCCCTTGCTTACTGACAAGTGCTGTAGCAAGAGATACTCATTTAGTTATATTGAAGTATATGAAGCACTGAACACATTAATAACATGCAAAATAGACATTTAGAGAAAGTTGTTATACCAGTTATGAAGACTCAGATTAGAGGTAACAGTTCATAGAAATCGTTTGAGTACAAGAGTGAAATTCAGGATTCTCTTAGAACCCTG